TCAAGGGTCAAGTCCAAGTATCATATCCACTGTGCAACTGTTTAAAGTCCCACATCCCTCTCACCTACTTCTTTGTAGGGACCCTCCAGAAACCCAGCATCTGGGCTGAGTCAGGCTCTGTGATCACCTCAGGGAATCCTGTGACAATCTGGTTTGAGGGAACCATGGAAACTCAAATGCATTTCCTATATAAAGAAGGAATCCAAGCACCCTGGGGCAGATTAACTTCACCAGTGCCTGACCACAAGGCCAGGTTTTTCATCCCATCTATGACAGAGTATAATGCAGGACGATATCGTTGTTACTATTATAACTCTGCTGGGTGGACACAGCACAGGACTCACCACCAGAGTCTAGGAGCTGGTGGTGACAAGTTAGTGGACACTAAGAGTCACAGTCCTCACATTTTCTGTGTGTTGGTCCCTGAAAGCTCTTCTTCTGACAGAATGTGACCCACATGCAATAACAAGGAAAAGTTAGATCACACTGACATAGTTGTTGCTGGTTCACACTTCTAAAAAGTATGACACAAGGTGGTTGATTGTAAGCAAATTTAAACACAGTACAAATTTGGAAAAAAAGATTCCTGGTATAATAGAAACTCCAGTGAACAACTAGGTCTTACTGCATCAAAACTCAACTGAGAAGTGACCATAAAGTTGGGCTCTATAGCTAACGGGCCTGTAATATGATATGGTCTCTGACCAAGATAACGTAGATGTCAGCAGGCTATAAATTGTATGTGACATCTTCCCTAAGAATGAGGTTCATTACCTGAGAGCTAATGATAAAGTCTAGGGTGACAGAGTCTAGGATAAACATTCTGGGGTATTCAGGTGAGGTTTCGAGCTACAGATTGATGGTCCCCTGGCTATTAACAACATCTACTTCCAGATCTCTTGATAGAAAACAGGTATTTATTCAATCAATTGTTCAGACACACTGCATGAATAACATTCCTGATTTCTACCATGTTATTTGTGAGATCAAGTACATCATGTCCTCTACATTTTCCCTCAGGAAATATATCTCCCAAATGTTTTCACCCATAGCCCAGCTGCTGGAGGCAATGTATCATTTAACAGGCCACATCATCTTCTCCTATGTTTATACCATGGTAAACCTACTCTGTCAGCCTTGCCCAGCCCTGTGGTGACCTCAACTGGGAATGTGACGACCCTCCAATGTGTCTCATCAAAAGGATATGATTGGTTCATTGTGACTGGGGAAGATCAGAATTTCTCCAGGTCCCTCCAGGCACAGTACACACACACTGCACAGTCCCAGGCTCTGTTTCCTGAGGTCCCTGTGACATCCAGAAAGAGTGGGCCTTTTAGATGTTATGGATACTTCAAAAGTAAACCACATGTCTGGTCAGAGGCCAGTAACCCCCTGGAGATATATGTCTCAGGTGAGAAGACTTATTCAGTCATCTGGTTTTTGACTGGGAATCCTTTATCACTAGCTCTGCTGCCCCATGGTTCCAGCCATGATGGCTGAGGAATATCTCGACTGCTACAACTCAGATTATGAGAGATCCTGACAGTATCAGAGCAGGGAAGGAGAGGTTATTGTCCTAGTTAGGATTGTATTACTGAAATGACATACCATGACAAACAGCCAGTTGTGGAGAAAGATTTTATTTGGCTTACACTTTTACTGCACTCTTTATCCTCAAAGGAAGTTAGGTGAGCAACTCTAACAGGGCAGGAATCTGGAGGCAGGAGTTGATGCAGAAGCCCTGGAGGGGTGCTGCTTACTGCCTTGCTCAGCCTGCTTTCATATAGAACCCAGGACTACATGCCCAGGGATGGTACCATACACAATGGGATGCGCCCTCCCCTGTGAATTCCTAATTAACAAAATTCCATACATGTGTGCAGCCTAATCTTATTGAGCCTTTTTCTCAGTTGGTGCTCCCTCTTCTCCAGTGACTCTAGCTTGTGTCCAGCTGACTTAAACTTAGCCAGCACAGGAATGTACAGCAAGAGCTGACCTGATGCCTTTATACATATCCTTCTTCCAGGGTCATCCAGGAAGCCCTTCCTGATAACCCAGCAAAGACCTCTCCTGGCACCTGGAGAGAAGCTGACCCTCCAGTGTTACTCAGACATGAGTTATGACAGATTTGCTCTTTCCAAGGAGGGTAGAAGTGACGTCCCACAGATGTCTGCCCATTTTACCCAGGCTGGAAAGTCTCATGCAAACTTCACCTTACACTCTGTGGATTTCACCACTGGTGGCCAGTATAGATGCCATGGTTCGTACAACACCTCTTTTGAGTGGTCAGTCCCTAGTGACCCTCTGGACATCCTGATCACAGGTGAGGAAAGTAGTGTATTCTCTCAAGGATCCAGACTCTGAACATGGTCAGCTTTGGGGAGGCCAGTGATTGATGATCAAAATAATGAAGATCATCTTAGGTGGAACAGGTCTGTGGAGAGGGGAGTAGATGAATGGCATTCAGGGAAGATATAGAAGACTACATAATACAAAAGGGTCTCAGAACAATGATTGTAACCCCTCACTCACCTTTCTTCTCTCTAGGACATCCTCCTGTCACACCCAACCTCTCAGTGCATCCAGGTACCACCGTGTCCTCAGGAGAGAAATTGACCCTGTTGTGTAAATCATCAATCCCAGTGGACAGTTTCCTTCTGTTCAAGGAGGGTGCATTCCATTCCCACATGCATCAAATATCAAAGCTCCAAGATTCACAATATCAGGCAGAATTCTCCATGAGTGCTGTGACTCCATCCATTAGGGGTACCTATATGTGCTTTGGTTCTCAAAGATCATCTCCTTACCTGTTGTCACACCCCAGTGTCCCCATGGAGATCATTGTCTCAGGTGAGATGACCATGATGTGTGTGGGATGAGAGGGTAACACTGTATACCTGATCTTGGGAGCTCTTGACTGGGATGTAAGTAAGTATCTCCTAGGGAGCACTAATTGGAAATGTTTCACTAGTTAATGATACAGAGGCAAACATTCCACCATATTCAAGGTAATTCAGAATGTTCGAGATAGGCAGCTGGGAGATTCTGGAGAGGCTTGCATGCCAACTCAAGACTGAGAAGACCTGAAATAATTAGAAAAGTCTTCTACTCATTATCTCGCATTGTCCTATTAAGAACGGTTTCTTGGGGTCCCAAATATCAGGCCCATAGAAGTGTTAGACTTTCCTGTCTAGGGAGTTTGTTCCATCCCAGAGTATGAAATCTCTCAGCCCCTGTAAGTCTTCATTTCTCTATCAGCTTGGATTTTGACCAGGACACTGGAATTCAAGCAGTGACCCCAATACGGTCCCCAGAACCAAAGAGGCTCACAGGCTTGGATATAATAGATTCATACTAACAAAGAGTTCTATTTGAAATCAGTCCTAGGAGAAGCATATAAATGAGAGCAGGAAGTTACTTCCCATGATTATCACATACATCATGCTCTGAAAACCAGTACTTCACCATTTGGACCCTGACCATAGCAGTCTAAACTAGAACCCTGTGGCAGGATTGGTCCGGGGACTCAAGCTAGATATGGAGCAGATGCAGTCTTTTCTGAGAGTTTCACATAAGACAAGCCCCTCTCCTGTGTGATTCCCAGTTTCTATAAGTGTAAACAGAAGAGCCCTGGCTTAGATCTTAAGTTGCTTTTAGTTCCAACTTTATCTCTGTCTTTCTCATAGAGGGGAATTCTCTAGAAACCCCTTCTGCAATTGTCTTGACACATGCCACACTGCAATGGTGACATCGTGTAGGAGAATGTGACAGGATCTGGGCAGGGCATTAAGGCTCCTTCCTTCTAGGACATGCAGTGTAGTTCCAGAACAGGGAAAACGCATAAAAGCTGGATTATTTGGGTTTAATCCTCAGCAACATGCCTTCCTGCTGGGTTACCAGCAGCTAAAATACCTGAGAGTGATGAGAGTCATTTTCACATTGCCTGGCTAAGAGTGTAAAAGGTACTGAATAAAAAGACTCAGTATG